CACTTGCTAATCAATATTCTACTGTTCTAAAGTAAATAATTTCTCCTTGTTTGAAGAAAATCATCTGATTAAAATAATACTCTTTAAATGCTAAAAAATAAAAAAAAAAATTAAAAAGATTTTTCCAGATTAAATGAGGCTAAAGAGACATAAAAATTATATGCAACATGTGATCCTGGATTGGGAATAAAGACCTATAAAGGACATCATTGAAACATTTGAGGAAATTTGAATATGGACTAGGGATTAAATAATAATTAAAATATTAATTTTAATATCCTGATATTGATAATTGTACTATTATGTATCATTATGCTACAAATGTCCTTGTGCTTAGGAAATACATACTGAGTAACTAGGAGCAGAAGGGCCTGATGTTCCCAAATGGCAAATGTAAACAATTAATGGACTTGGGGGGGAAAGTATGCAGTTCCTTGTATTATTCTTGTAACTTCCCTGAAAGTGTGAAAAAATTAAAAGTGCCGAAAACTAAAATGAAAGAGCAAAGGGAAAAAAAAATCTTCCAATGGCTTCTCATCTCACTCAAAAATGAGTGAATCCTGACAAAGTCCTTGCAGTGGACTAGGTGGTCCTACATTTTCAAGCTCCAATCTCACCTCCTACAACTCCTGTGCTGGCTACCTCCACCCCAGCACTGCCCACTCAAGCTCTTGCTGCTCTTTTCCTCAGACAGGCCAGGCATGTTGCCCCTCAGGGCCTTTCTTCCAGTTAGTCCCTCTGCCTGGAGTGTTCTTCCTCCAGGCTTCCCTGTAGCTTGCACCATCACTTCTTACATTTCACCTTCTTAATGAGTCCTTCCCTAATCATACCATCTAAAATTACAGTTCCCACTTTCCACTTCCCTGCTTCACATTTCTCCATAACATTTATCATCATTTAACAAATGATAAGTTTTGTATAATGTTCATTTGACTGTTTTTCCCACAAGAAGTGTATGATTTATAAGGGCAAGAAATATTGTCTGTTTTGTTTTGGGATATACAGAGGACTTTTACCTGATTCTTCCCTTGGCCCAGGGGTCTGGTCTTCCTACTTCCCAACCCCCAAACCCCCAGGATCCAACCCTCCAGGCACTTCCCCTACCCAGGACCCAGGGGGTCCCAGTAAACCGCCTTCCCTTTGAAGAACAAAGAGGGAGGAGTTGAGCCTTGGAACCCAAGCTTGGGGAGACATCACAGCAGGGGAGAGGAAGCTCAGACAACTGGACCAGCTGTGTTGTCTCAGTTCCTTCCCAGCCCCCCGCCTCCCTAAGGGCTCCGCACGTGTGGGACACGAGTTCCCGTCCCTCGAGCCCAGACACAGCCTAGTGTTGAGAGCATGGCTAGGAAGAGGCTGGAAACCCAGACTTTCATACACACACTATGTAGGCAGACATGCACACAGGTCCACACTGACACAGAGGCATGCCAACCACACAGAGACCCGATCTGATACCCCAGAAACGCTGGGGGAGGGGGATGTTCTCACAATCACATCTGCACAAAAGCAGTGGCTGGAGAAAATCACCCAGCCTAACAACTGGTCTCAGGTTTAGGAAGTATTTTTTAAGAAAATAATACAAAATTAGGAACAGAAAGTAATATTTAGAGTGAAACAAGGGATCACAACAACTTACAAATCGAAAAAACTGGCAAATGCCACAAATGCCACAGAGTCCAGAAAAATAACTCATTTGTATTAACTGCCTGTGCACCTCTATAATATCTTTTACAAATTAGCCACTGGCTCTCTATATTTCAAATCTTGTTTCTCCTCTACTATCCATGTACTTACAGTGACAGGAGCCACTGGACACATTCATATCACATGTGCCCTCTGGCTTTGCACAAAGCTTGGTGAGTGGGCACCACATGATAGGAGTATTCCTGGAAGCCATTCCTACACTAAAATAGCTAGGCTAACTTAACCACTGGGAACTATATCAGCATATCCCATGAAGCCTTAAATTTTATGTCTCTCCAACTCACTTTCTCCATAACCAGATCTCCCAAAATGGTCACAACCACACCAACACCAGGGGGGAGGTATGACAGAGGGAAAGCAAAGTGGAAAGTGACTGCGGCCTTTACCATTTACAGTTAAAATATTTTACATTTGCAAATTTTACAGAAGCATATATGGCTGTGTGAAGGTGTTGCTAGGACCCTCCCAGGGGCCTAAGTGAGGAGTCCTGAAGCATGAACTTCATTAGCTTCATGGTGATTTGGCCTCTGAACTTGAAATGTTTTATCCCACATCTCAAATGGACTCTCAACCTGCCTAGAAATCCTATTCTCCTAGCCTAGGTTTGTTTTTCTACTCTCAGAAATGAACATTTCACACCTTCTTTCTCATACAATCTGTAGCTCTCTCCTCTCCAGCAATGAGCTTGATTTATTCTTTGAGAAAATGAAAGAAATCTAGACAATTTGCTTCATCCTTTCTCTAACCCAACTGGCCCACGTCCTCTGTCTCTCCCATCTCCCTATGCTTGAAGAGCCTTCCCTACAAGCTGAGATTGATTTCTCTACCTGGTGGAGGTGAAGTCTTCCCACTTCATTCCCGCCCTCCCCCAACCCCCCAGATTTTGAGGTCTTGGTTATTCCCATGAGCATCAAACCAGTTCTAGCACCCCTCATCTCTTGTGCTCCTACATGCCACATTGTTCTGCTCACCATTTATAGCAAAACCTGATGGAGTTGTCTATAAGCCACTGTCTGCATACATTCACATCCTATTTTAACCTCAACCCACTCAGTGAGACTGCACATAGTCCCTCCCCGCAACCCAGGTCATCTGCGACTTCCAAGATGCTAAACTGAATAGTTGCTTCTCTCTTCTTACTTGACCTCCCAGCAATTTCTCTAGAGCTTACTGCCCTTTCCTTCTTCATACACTCTCTTTTCTTGGTTTCCAGAACACCTCACTCCCCTGGCTTTTCTGCTACCTCTCTGATCACTCTAGATCCCTTTGACAATTTTTCCTTCTCAACTTGACCTTGTGTTAGGGTGCCCTAGGGCTCCTTGCTCAGTCTCTTTTCTCTCTATCCTCTCTCCCATCCTTAGTCTTATAGCATTAAACACCATCTATCTTTCAATGACTCCCCTATATTTACCCTCCAGCTCTGACCCTGGCCTACCTGGGTAAGATGTCTAAGGGAATCTCCACTAACCTGACTAAAGTATAATGCTTGATTGCTCTCCCCAAACCCTTTTTGTACCCTCCCCCTTTCCATCTCAAGAAAAGGCACCACCAACTCCTGGGTTACTTAAGCCAAAAACCTAGTTCACTTTCCCTCTCCACTTCAGTACAAGCTACCGTCATGTCTTGCCTAAATGACTACTCCAGCAAGCTAGATGATGTTCCTGCTTCCAACCTTCACACAGCAGCCAAAGTGTTAATTTAAAGCATAGGTTAGTGAACATAACTTTCCTATTAAAACTCTCCACTGGCTTCCAATTGCACTTAGACTAAAATCCAAACTCCTTCAGGAGCCTCAAAGGCCCGATGTGAAGGGCCATACCTGACTCTCCATTTTTATCTCTATCGCGCTCCAAATTCTCTGTCTAAGGGACACTGGCCCTCTTTCTGCAGCTCCCACCAGCAAAGCCTGTTCCTGCCTCAGAGCCTTTGCACTTGCTGTTCTTTTTGTTTGAACTCATGGCTGGCTGCTCTGGGCTGAAATATCACCTCCTGATAGAGGATGTCTCTGACAGGCCAGAGTAAAGTAACACTTCACTCTCAAGTCGTTGTGGTGCCGGGTTGTTCCTCACCTCGCCCCCCGTCTTATAACCGTTTGAACTTATATTATTTTCTGCTTTCTTAGTTATTGTGTCTCTCCCGCCCAAACCCAATGTACCCTCAAAGCCTAACCATACTGAGCACACAGGAGGCACTTTGTAAATATCCGCTGAGTGGATAAATACAGCGACTGTGCGCACAGATATACGGATGCCCAAATTGCTGTACATTTTCCTTCTGGAGGTAAACTGTTCCCGCTTAGAGGAGACAGCATTCCCAGTCATCGACACAATCGTGAGATAGGAAGGACCCAGACCTAGCCCAGGTGAAACAGACAGTCTGAAAGAGACAGGAGACAAAAATCAGAGATGCAGAAACACACCCAGGGCGACTTCTAGAGAGTGACCGAGGTAGATCAAGATATCAAGACCGAGACCCAGACGCAGCGAACCTAAGACCTGGGCCTGCAGAAGCCCGGACAGCAGCAAGAGACAGTGCCGTAAGGAGCGGGGCGAGGGAGGCCTAACGCGCCCCGTGGAAGACCGCTGAAAACCTGTGCGGCAAGCGGGGGAGCCCAGCTGCCCCCGACGCCGCTCACAAGTGGCCCCGGCAGCTGGTGGGTGCGCCCCGCCGCCCGCCGGCCGGACGCGTGCGGGATCAAAGCTGCCGGGAAGGGGCGGGCAGGGAGGTGACAGGAACCTGGAGATGTGAGCGAGCTTCCTAGGGGATGGGAGGAACGTGAGAGAGCAAAGTGCCGCGAGGCGACAGAGACCCAGAGAAATCCTAGAGACCTGTAGTCACCCAGAGACAACCAGAGACCGAGACACAGACGCAGAGAGAAACGGAGAGGCCGGAGAGATCTGGAGTCAGAGATACAGAGACTACAAAAGACCCAAAGAGACCAATGCAGAAGTTGCTAAGAGATCTGGAAAGAACATGAATGATACAGACACAGAGACACCAAGAGGAATGCAGAGACGCAGAAAGACCGCGAGACAGAAAAGGCCGAGGTCCCTGGACTTGGAAAAAGAAAGCGCGCTTCAGAGGGAATAAGAGGTAAGACAGAGAGCAAGGCAGAGAAATGGAAAGAAGAGCAAAGGAGTCAGAGCACTTGGGGCGGAGACCTAGCCCCGCCCCGCAGAGGGCCAAGAGGACCCCCGGGGTAGGAATCCGAGCGCGGTGTCCTTTCTCAGGGTCACGCCTGCGGAGGTGCGGGGCCGAGAGCAGAGGGCGGGGTGGGGAAGGCGGCAGGACTCCCAGGCTGGGAGGATGGGCTAGGGAGGATGTACGGACTTAAGGTCTCGATCCAAAGCCTCCAACTCTGCGATAGAGTAAAAAAGTTAAAAGTTAAATACCTCGTGGAAACGTTAAAGAGCTCAGATACTTCAAGAGACTCTTTTTGGGGGAATAAAAACGAAGCGTGTTGCATTGGCCGGGAATCGAACCCGGGCCTCCCGCGTGGCAGGCGAGAATTCTACCACTGAACCACCAATGCATGTGATAAATGGCGCCCGGTGACTCTACCAGAGCTTGTAAGAGGCTCAAGCCCCCACTGTCAAGCCGACTTTGTAGGCAAGAGGCCGGGCGAAGGAGTGGCCCCGAGTAGCTGAAGTGGGTGGAGCACCAAGGCATCCTTCCTCTATCTGGGATCCGGCCATCCGACCATAAAGTCGCCCCATATGGCAAGGGGCGGCCCCACACCCGGGTGCGAACAGCCCGGGGCCCCCAAGCCTCGCGTGCAGGTGAGAAAAACTCAGCCTGAGCCTAGGTTCCCAAGGGAGGGGGGCAGTGGGGGTTGCTGGGGCCACACATTTGCACTCCCATTTGGCCCAGATAGAGGGAGGTGGGATATGCTGAGGGCCCTGAACCCAAATGGGAGCACCCATCCGAAGGTCTGTGTCCCTTCGGGCTCGGGCCTTGGCAAGGCAGGCTTCGGGGCCGGGGGGTGTTGCGGGGAAGGGGAGAAAGAGAGAGAGAGAGAGGAGAGAAAGTGTGGAGGGGCACTGGGTAGGCCAGGAGTAACCCCATCCGTCTCCGACTCCGCACCTATCGTCGGACTCGTTCTGCAATCTTGTCTTTACGTCTTCTTGCCCCTGGTTCCCTTGCAGTACCACCTGCTAAATCTCTGATTTTATCTTCTCAGGCATTTTGTCCTGAAGTCTCCGAGTGTTCACGCATCATCCTGCAGAGAGGGTCATGGTCTTGGTTTGAGGTGGGTGTTTATCCGTTTTTGTCCCTTTAAGAAAACTTCCTGCTTCCTGCTCCTCTACAGTTACGAGGGATCTCTGGGAGCAAGCAAAGCGAGCACACTTGTGTCAGGTGTCCTGGCAGCCTGAATCTCCTATTGTTTTGATTCAAATACTTGTAAGTGAAAGATCTCTCCACCTCCTACCCGTGCTTCAAAGCTTTGCTTCCTCTTCCTTGAGGTTTCCCTCCCGCCCCCACCCCCACCAGTCCAGCCATCCTTCAGGATGATCCTTTTCCTGAGCACGTACTGTACTCTGATTCTATAATAACTGCTTGATAACACATCGTTTTTTCACTAGATCCTGCAGGGATGAGCTGAGCCTCTAGCGCAAATCTCAGTATAGACGGTACAAGCCTAGACCAGTGCCCAGTGATCACAAGCGCGAGTGACTAACGCTTCTCCGGCTCCTGGTGTGGACCGAGTCCCTTTCCTTGTTGGAGGAATTGAATGTAACTGCCTTAGATAGAACAGAGCTTCTCTTCTACCTCCAGACAGAGCCTCAGTTGAATCAGACAGTTTCACCTCGCTCACTCAGGTCGCTTTCTATCTCAAGTAGGAGGTGAACTTTGGGGGAAGAGGTATAAGCTCCAGCCTGGGGGCTAAGGGGTGCTAACTTTTATTTTATGGTGAGTGGGGTACAGTGACCTCCCAAGAAAGTTGCGATTGGGAGGCGGAGAATTCTGAACTTCACTCCTGAGTTCTGTCCCCAGATTCCTCAAACTCCCTCTCCCCCTCTAATAACCTCCTCCTTTCAACTGCGACCCGCCTCATTATACAGCCTTATGGTCCTTAAACCAGCTGGTGCTACACTGACCCCTCATTTCCCACACTCCCAGGCCAGTTCCACTCCTTCTCCTCCTCCTTGCGCTCCTCCCCTTTCCGGATGCCTCGTGCCCAGGGCCGCGCCGGGCGGGATCTGGGTGCCTAAGGGGGCGGGTCCGGGTCCCCCCATCACACCTAGGAGCCTGAGTGATATAAGGCACAACCCGAGCAGGAACTCGGTCTACACTAGGGTCCGGAGGAGCGATGGTCACTCGGGATCGAGCCGAGAATAGGGACGGCCCCAAGGTGAGAGGCGAGAGAAGAGGGAGCAGAGGTCCCTGGGCCTGGGAAGAGGCTGGAGACGCTGGGCTGGAAGGGGGAGAATTGAGTGGGGGACACAAGGAGCCAGGAGCTGGGGAGGAAGTTGCAAACTATGAAGAAGGGGACGGGGTCAGAGCAGGACCTGAGTGGGCGGCAGAAGTAGAGGTCTGGGGTTTGGGTAATGGGAGTTGGCACCTTGCGGCCTGGGGGGCATGGGAGGGGGCTGGAATTTGAGTGAAATAAGCAAGGGAAGAGCAGAGCTAAGGGAGGAGGGTGGAAACAAAAAGCGGAGACATGCATTAGCTCCACGCGGGCTGGCCCAATGGGCATTGGTTCCAGAGGCCTAAGACCGGGTGGAAGATTTTAGAACCAGTTGAGAACAGTGACAGCTTAGACGGGTTAGAGGGAGAAGAGGAGGCGCGGTCGCGCTGGGTATCTCCCTTTTTACACTCAGGGCCGCCAGCTCTGAGTCCGGCACCTTGCGGCCCACGTGTCTGGGCTCAAAGAGGGCCCCCAAAGTTCTCCACTGAGACAGAGAGTCTGCACGAGACGGAGACGTAGAGAGAAAAGAGATGGAGAAGGAGAGACACAGAGTGGGGAGGAGGGAGGACAAGACTGAGAGAGGAGAATGCAGAAGACCCGGGAGAGAGAGGAGGCGAGCTACAGAAATTGACCCTAGGGGCACTGGGAGGGGGAGCGGAGAGGGATCGAATGGGCTCGGCCCTAGGCTCTCAGGGGTCCTGGGAAGGGGTGGAGGCGGGCCTATCCCAGCGGCGGGATCCTGATGCTCGCGCGGCCGCGCTGAGTCTTGGTCCGGTCGGCCCGCTCTT